TTTCGACTTTCATAGTACGACACCATCGTTCATCCAGGACTGCTTCCCGGAATGTGCGAGGCTCGAGGTGTGAAGCAACGGCTGCAACAAAAGCTCGATTAACAGGGGTGACCTTATCATCAGCGAGATGAGAGGAGAGAGGGTACCGGACGGCGTTAGCTTCACTGCCGGTATAGTAGATGTCAAGACGTTTGGGCTTGACCCGTGTGCGCTCGCTACAGCGAGGAACAAGAGCCGGCGGAGAGGGGCCCGCGGGTGACGAGGCTGAGGAGCCTGGGGACGCGTCACGGGCGGGAGAGCTCTCGGGCCGAGGACTGGGCTGATGAGGTTGGCCCGAGGTCTGAGCCGAGTAATCGGGGGAACCAGGGCTGAGCGAAGAGGTGATCTCGGCCGCATCATCAAATTCGGGCCGAGAAAAGACCTGCAGGGAAACCCAATTGAACTCAGGAGAAACAGTGGGGCTGAATGGGAAAACAGACTCGTGGAAGACGACGTCGTGACTGGTGATGATTTTGCGCGACGTTAAATCATAAGCACGATAGCCTTTTTGGCTAGCGGCATAACCCAAGAAGACACAGGCCCTCCCCCATTCTGCAAACTTGCCAAGCCCAACATGAGTGTCTTTGCAGTAAACCAAACAACCAAAAACACGAAGATGAGCATAGGAAGCAGGTGTGCCGAAGAGAACTTTGTACGGAGTCCTATTGCCAGTGGCAACAGTCGGTAATTGGTTGATCAAATAGGCAGCAGTCAAAATGCATTCTCCACAGAAACGAATAGGCAAGGAGGCCTGGAATCGAAGAGCACGAGCCGTGTCAAGCAAATGGCGATGCTTCCGCTCAACAACACCGTTCTGCTGAAGCGTGTCAGTGCAGGAAGTCTAAAGAACAATGCCATACTTCTCATAATAGCGCCGAAGAACAACAGTCTGGAATTCCAAGCCATTGTCAGCCTGAATGCGTTTAACCTGGCAACCAAACTAAGTAGAATCATGCTGACAGAACATCTAAAGAGAGCGATGACCATGACTCCAACTTTGGCATTATCCAAATTTTTGAAGCCTTATGTCATAGAGGCAGATGCGACGGGTAGGGGAATTGGCGCGGTTCTGTAGCAGGACCGCCACACAATCGCGTTCATGAGTAACACGCTAGCACCAATTAGGGAAGCTTGGTCTACCTACCTGAACGAGATGCAGCCTATCATTACAACAGTTGAGATGTAGAGACCATACCTTCTGGGTCAGAAATTTCACATTTACACGGAACCATAGAGCTTGAAGCACCTGTTGAGCAAGAAAGTCTCCACTCCTGATTAGCATAAATGGGTGTCAAAGTTGATGGGGTACGACTACGCGATCCATTGTAAGCCAGGGCCAACGAATGTGGTGGAAACCCCAGGCAAGTATTCTTTTCTCTATGGGCTGGTCCTTCCGCCAGGTACCAACTTTGTCACGACCATCTTGTTCGAGTTTCACGATTTGCCAATGGGGAGTCATTCAGGGGTTGAGAGAACGCTTCGACGGATTCATGCCCATTTTACTGGCCAAAAATGGCCCAGGAGGTTAAAGAGTATGTGGCGACGTGTGACACCTGCCAGAGGATGAAGGCATTCCTGTTGAGACTAGCAGCGCTTCTGCAGCCATTGCCAGTACCGAAATGGATCTGGGAGGACATCAGTATGGATTTTGTGGTGGGTTTACCTCCGTCTGGAGGGAAGACCATTTTATTCATAGTTGTTGACCGGCTAACGAAATACGCACACTTCATGGCTTTGTCGCAACCCTATACCGCCAAGACGGTGGCAGAGCAGTTCATGACAGGTGTCGTCCGCCACCATGGATTTCCATGCTCCATTATAAGTGACCGTGATCCTATTTTCTTGAGTAATTTCTGGCACAACGTGTTTGCTATGGCGAAGACGGCTCTGCGCATGAGTTCCGCTTATCATCTGCAGATCGATGGCCAACGGAGGTCGTTAACAGGCACTTAGAGCAGTACTTGTGGTGTTTTCTGCATCAGTAGCCGCGTAGCTAGTTGGGATTGATTCCGTGGGAGGAGCCGTGGTATAATACCACCTATCACCGGGCGATAAAGACAACTCTCTTTGAGGCCTTGTATGGGTGGCCTCCTCCGTCGCTGGTGCAGTACAGGAAGGGCGACAGTGTGGTGGACGCGGTGGATAGGTGGATGGTTGCTCGGGACGAGGCTCTCACTCAGTTGAAGAAAAATTTGGCGGGTGCGAACAAAAGAATGAAAGCGATTGCGGATAAAGGTCGGCGCAAAGAGGAGTTCGAAGTGGGAGATCGTGTTCTACTATGGCTGCATCCTTATCTACAGGCTTTTGTATTCAAGCAGGATCATCAGAAGTTGGCTGCATGGTATTTTAGACCGTATGAGATTATCAAGAAGATCAATCTGGTAGCCTACAGGTTGCGGTTGCCGGATGGATCTCGGATCCTTCCGACGTTCCATATTTCATTGGTGAAACACTACATGGGGGAGGCGGATAAGGTGGAGGTGACGCCATCTCCGATCTCGGTGGATGGAGAGTTGGTCTTAGAACCATTGGAGGTGTTGCATTGCGTTGGTCGAGGAAGGGAGGTCGATTGGTGAAGGAGGCATTGGTTAGCTGGAAGCACTTTGCCACAAAGGATGCCACGTGGGAGTTGACATCGATTTACAGATGATGTATCCGAAGTTTGACCTTGAGAGTAAGGTCGTGTCTCAAGGGGAGGGGGATGATGGAAGCCCAATGTAAGGGTCCGGGTAGAGTAGAGTGGTATTTTTGTTATTTCCTTATTATTGTTAAACTCCTATTTAAGGGGTCAACCCTTATTTTCCAGAATTAATTCAGAAAAGCTTAAACCCAAATCCCTAATCTTTTTTCTCTCAATTCTTCCCCAATTCCTCTAAATCTCAATATTCTTCTTCTCAAATCCCTAATTCCCAATTGGGAACTTCTTGAATCTATCACATTCCAACTTTACTAGTATTCAAATAAGGTTTCCATAACAGCCAAACCCGACCAGATCGAGAATATTATAGTTATCTAACTGCTTCCGGCTACTAAACTGCTTATTCCTTATATCATCAGCATTATTTTTTAGTGCTCTAGTTTTCAAAATGGCACAAAAATCTACATGTAACTTAGCTACTTGTTTATTTACGTATCTATGTTTCTCAGGGGCATTGAAACCCCCTATGATTCCAGCATAGGAACTTCATTTACCTCTCTTCTTGTTCTTCCCACCCTTCTTGGGAGAAGCAGGAATTACAAGCTCAATACTCAGTGGCACACGAGAACTAACAGCTGCAGTCGGTATCCTTATGTTGCTGCCTTGATCCCGACCTGCAGAAACATTTTTACCCTTACGAACCACCAATTGAAAACCATATGCATCCACTAGATCATTCCTCAAAGGCATAGAAGAGCTAGTAGCATCCACAACCTTGTCTCCCACCACTGAGCTACCCAAGACCTCCTGAGAACCTGATGCTAGAGCTTCAGAACTCCCTATACCACCCGATGCGGAAGGAACAACCACTGTGTTCACTACCTCCTTTCCTTTATCAACTGTATCCATACTAACCACACGTTCCTCCCCAATCCCAGGCAACGGAGCAGTTTGTGTCTTGCCACACTCCAACCCCTCACCCATGACATGACCAAACTCAGCACACGGTTCACATTTAGCTGGAATATTGAAATAGTGGACAAACAAATTCAGCCTCTCTTCGCCTTCAGGACGAATCCGAAGTTCAGTTTGGAAAAGTGAGTCTGCAGCCATTTCAATACATAACTTCGATGTACCCATCTGAGCTCCAAGTTTAGTTGCTTAATCCATCCATAAGGGCGTAACCAGCAAACTTGCAACTCTGCTCAAACCCTCCACTATCATATACTCCAGCGGTAAACAAATTTGTTCGATGCAATTAAGTAGTTAAAATATAAAATCGGATGTACCTGTAGATTATGCTTCTGAATATGATCACCATTCGTACTTAAACTCTCCAAAATATTTCTAATCAAACTAACTTCTAGAAATATATCGTGTGAACCTACATTTTGGATGATGTAGTGTAGTCACGAACTCAATGGGAAACTCAACTAAGATCATGATTAAGGATGCATTTATACATTTCCTAATCTAGCAGTGAAGTTATAGCACATTGATGTTGAACGTAAGAAAAAACCAATTATGCTTAGACAAGCGCTGATAATTTGATATTAACACTACAACAAAACAATGATTTAGCGACAGTCATACGGACTTTTAGCGACAGCTTGAACTTTTGCTAAAATATTTAATGACGGACAGCCGATTGTCGCTGACCCCGCCGTTCTTAAATTTTATGGTGACGTTGTGGTCGATCGTCACGCTGTCCGTCGGCAAACTTTAGTGACGGTGCTGACCAACGCAATCTTTAAGAAAACTTTCATTAAATAAAAATTCCATAAATTAATTAAATTGTTTAGTGACAATTCCTGACTGTCGCTAAAAACTACCGCCTAATGCTAAAGCTACCCCTGTAGCTAAAGAGCCACCTGCGATAGTGGCCACTACCTGCTTTGATTTTTTCTTCATAGGAAGCATGTTGTGACTTTCTGAAACTACAAATCAACAATATATAGATACTTTGATGATCACAAATCCAACTACTTTGTATTATCATATCAGAAATATAAACCATCAATCGCGGAACAACCAACTCTAGTCAAACCACTTAAAGAAGTTCAAAACATAACATCTAAAGTTTACTACTCATTCAAATCACTTACAAAAGTTCAAAACTCCAACTTACAATCCCTCATTGTTCCTTATAGCACCAAATCCAGTAGAACTAGAGGTGGCAAATGGATTGATTCATGGATAAGTGGATTGGATTGTTTGATCCATGGATCAAATGGACTGGATCAAATGGATTAATGGATCCATGGATTGGATAAAGTGGATTGATGGATTATTCATTAATCCAAATGACATTTAAATCATTGAATCAAGATGTCAAATTTGAAAACTTTATATACTGCAACTTGATAATAAATATTTTAGGTACCAAACTGTATATTTTCCATGATATTTTATTTTCGCAGATGAGAGAAACAGTCATCGCCGGCGACACCTCCAGCCTCCAGGTCCCTCCCAACTGGACAAGCGGCCGAATCTGGGGCCGAACGGCGCTGGCAGAATCCCTCCCGCAACCCTCCTCGAGCTCACACTCAACATGATTGTCGTTGATGTCGCTGAACTCCTGGTTGGCGAAGACGTCGAACTCGACGCCGAAGATGCGGGTGCTGGGATCGTTGTCGATGGTGCGATTGAGGAAGCCCAGGTTCTGAGAAGAGGAAGCCCCCTCGATTCCAGCGAAGGGGACGAACAGGAAGACCAATCCGTGGCCCGGGAGGGTGTTTCTGTACGGCGCCATGGCGAAGATGAAGGAGGTGGAGAAGGGGTTGACATAGGAGGAATTGGGGGTTTTGGTGCGGATTCTCTGCGGGTAGAGAGCGCGGCCGATGGTGAATGTGGTGGAGTTGGTGAGGGTGAGGACTCGAGATTCGACGGCGGCGGATCCGTAGAGGAAGAGGCTGGAGGAGGAGTTGGTGGGGGTGAAGCTGTTGAAGAGGAAGGGGAGGGTGTGAAGCGGCCGGCGGTGGTTCATTGCGGCGGCGGGGAAATGGGTGGCGGTGGCGGCGGTTGTTTCATTTGGGGGATGGAGGAGATGGATGATAAGGTGGGGAAATGGAGAAGGCCAGAAGGGGAAAGGGAGAGTTAACCAGTTAGAGAGGAGGATCCTGATGATTGAAGCATGCCAGAAAAACACATCAGATGAGATATTCTGAAACAAGGACTAACCAAAATTACAAAAACTTGACTACCCAAGTCACCATGACAGATTTGCTAAGATGCCTGCTCAAGTTGCAAACTACAGGGCCTGTGATCTAACTTGAACAGGGTAATCAGCTATACAAGAACCTTTTCATCATCAACAATACTCAATCGGGTTCATAACTCAATCAGAAAACATTCAGCATTACATCTTTGCATCAGGCAAACAAAACTCAATCGGGTTCATTACATCTTTGCATCAGGCAAACAAAACTCAATCGGGTTCATAACTCAATCAGAAAACATTCAGCATTACATCTTTTCAATCATTCATCAGAGATAGGAGTATAATTAGCAGCCATCGAGGATGTTCCAATAGCCTTTGAAATCTTCACCTCAAGCCCATTATCACGATCATCACCTGCATATCAAAGCTTCGGCATTTTCGGGCAAAAGAGAGCTTCGCCAGTTGTTTAACACTCTACCTCCCATACTGAAAGCCGACTCCGATGCTACGGTTGTGATTGGAATGCTCAAAATATCTCTGGCCAAGTGAGCAAGCTCTGGGAACCGAGATTCATTATTCTTCCACCAGAGAAGAACATCCAATGGTTGTTTGCGCTTGAGTCTCTTATCATCTAAATATTCATCGAGTTGTGTTCTATCACCCAAGAACTGGTTTTCCCCAAAAGAATCAAACTCCTATGAAGAAAACAGCAACGAGATCAATATCATGCCAATCAATTTGACACCAGAAGCACCATCACAGTCACATTGTTGCAAAATGGCCAGTACATACACCTATTCTGATTCCAGATTTCTATATACACAGCAACACTAATGTACAAAACCACATACCTGATGCTGAAAAGCACGAGTAGGACAATGTACCCACAAACACACACACCAAAACAATTCACAACACAATTATCTCTCTGTGTTTCATACAAATGCAAAGAGAGGATATGAGATGACTGATGAGGGAGATGACCCACTTTCATTACCCAGGCACCACTGCACCAGTGAACTTATGGTTCAACAGACTGGTCCAGAACTCTCACATAACATATATATATACTGAATAATACTTTTGCACATATTTGGTACAGAAAATATCCCAAGAATGACATGCAGCAAGAAAAAAACCAGCCAACCCAGCAACCTTTATACCTTAAAACCAGTTCTCAACAGCAAGGTGACTTCATGGACTTAATGAGGCAATATTCAAAGATTTGCAGATCAATACCCAGGAGAGAAACAGATCAAGCACATGTAGAGCAAACTTTAAACATTGGTAATTTGATGTTAAAGGAAAAGGGTAAGAAATCTACCATACAGCTTTTCACAGAACACCTGTTTGCATGATTACCAACAACTAAGACGACTAACACTACCACTAAGATTGATTACTGTGGAATCAATCTCATATGACATCTGGAAAATTGCATTCAGCAAGGGCAAGCACAAGTAGCACAGCTAAAAGAACATAAAAAATGAGAAGCATGTTTACTTACATCCATATCATCTCCATAGTCAACATCTTCAGCAAAATCCTCAGCAAGGGATTGAGATTGATCAGTAGGATCACCATACAACTTCAGTAAATCACATATCTTCCCTCGAAGCTCACAACACTTTTCTTTAGCAACATCATTGTCCCCATACAACTTCTCATAGCAAAACCTCACAGAATCCATCTTGTACCGTGGATCAAAAACCACTGCTATGGAGAGGATCATACTATAGGAGTCCCAGTACTTATCAAACTTCTGCTTCATGCTAAACCCATATTTCGAATATCACTATCCATACTTTTAGATGCCTCCATTAGCCGCATCTGAATCCTCCATACATTGCAAAAGTACAAATTCGAAGTAGGATAATGCACTCCAGAAAAAAGGTTAGTGATATCATCAAAAGGTTTCAAAATATTCTTAATTTTCTTGATCTTCTCCCATTCCACATCTGACGAAAATCGATCAAAATTCCTGTCAACCAACTTCAAATGCTGAAAAGCACGACGATAGAGCTCAGCTCTTTCAAGCATCATGTATGTCGAGTTCCATCTAGTCGGACAATCTAACCACAATCCTTTAGATATCAAACAATTACTTCTTTTTGCACAATCTTCAAAGACAATCATTCGAGATTCAGACCCTTTGACATATTTCACCCACTCCCTAATTACATCTATTGAAGCACGAATTTGTTTTAACCCTTCATTCACAATCAAGTTTAGAATATGAGCTCCACAACGGATATGAAAATATTCTCCATCACATACCAAAGCATCATCTTCTTTCAATTTATCGATCAACAAACTTTGCATAACATCATTGCATCTGGCATTATCCAATGTAATTGAGAAAATTTTCTTCTCAATTTGCCACTCTTTCAACAAATCATATATAGCTAGAAACAAAACTATTGCACTATGTGGAGGGGGAATGTGACAGAAGTTTAAGATCTTAGTATTTAACCTCCATTCAAAATCCACATAATGAACCGTGAGACAAAGGTATCCTTCTGTAGCACAAGAAGTCCACAAGTCACAAGTCAAACAAAGCCTGCCAGGAACCTTGCTCAAGATAGTTTTCAATTTTTCCTTTTCCCTCTTATGAATCTTCAAACAATGTGACTTAGCAGTGTTCCGAGTAAATGACTTAAAATCATCATTCAAGTAGGCCATCACATCCTGAAGTCCACCATGCTCAATCATTGCAAATTCATACCCATGTTTTATGATAGCCATAGCCATTAGCTCCTTAAATCTATTTTGATCTATTGCTTTTGAGCTTCCAACATTCGACACTGGCACTTCAATTGCACGTCCAATACACTTAAAACTATGACGAGTGAGATTAGAAATACCTTTACCAACCACATAAAGCTTGGGACAGTTTTTGCACTGTGCTCTTGATATATTATCTGCAAACTGATTCCCAGGGATAAAAGTAAATGTCTCCCATGCCTTAGAAGTTCTTTGTCGCTTTCGTTGAACACTTGTTCGAACCGTAGACGTCGACATTGCTGCAAAATGAGCCTCATCTCCAGAACTACCACCATCATCATTTCCCATAACATTCATTTGTTGACTAGACATCCTGAAATAGCATGTTGCCCAGATACGTGGTCACAAACTCTGCAGCAAGTAAGCAACCAATAAGTATATACAAGCAGCGGGATGGAAAAAATGGAGAAGATGAGCAATGAATAATGTGCCAAAGACAGGGAAATCAGAGAAGGAGAAGAGCCAAATCTGACATAAAATTCCCAACCGAAGGATTTCGATTTGTGCCTCTAGAACAAAGCTGTCAAGAAATCGATCCAATTCAGATCTACTCTTGCAGCCGAAAGAGGAGGCAACGAAGACAAACATACCCAGTAATTCAAAAGAACAAATAACGAAAGAGAGCTGAAGAATTCAGGCTGTGAGAAAGATAATCGAAGGAACAGAACAATGAATGAATTTTAGGGATAGAGGACGACTGATACCTATATATAGAGTTAAGATTAAGCGGGAGAACTGAACTAACCCTGCGCCGACGCAAGTTCACTGCAAGTCTGCAAGAATTCACAAAATCAGAAATTCCAATGGTGAAACAATGGGGAAGAGGTTCGATTAGAAAGTACCTGTTCAACCTTTGAGACGGCGGAGCGGAGAAGCAACGAACAAAATTTCAGTTCGTGGGTTTGGGCGAATGGAGTGATTAACGTTCCTTGATGGAGCTGGCCGAGAAATGATGGAGAGGAAGGCGAGTTTCTGACCTTCGTGAAGGAGGCGACGAGGTGGGTCTGGATAGGAGGCGGCGCGAACGGTGTTGTCTGGAATAGGAAGCGACGAGGTGGGTGAGAGAGGGTGAGAGAGGCGGCGAGGTCGCAGTGGTTTTTGGAGGCGACGACTGACGAGGTGGGTTCAAGAGGGGGAGAGTGGCGGCGACGCGGTCGTCGTGGTAGGCGGGGGAGGAGGGGAGGGCGAGGGCGGGGGCTTGGATTCGGAATTCGTCGAGGGTGAAGGAAGGGGCGCGGCGGGCGAGGGTGGAGCTGATGTAGTCGATGAATCGCTCTCGCTTCTCCTCCTCTTGTCCGACTCCGCCGCGGCCGGCGTCGGAGTGGTGGAAGGAAAGAGAAGGGGTGGAATTCCAGGCGGAGTAGAATCGGTTGGAGAGGATGCAGAGTTGGGAGACGGTTTTGGGAGGGAGGAGGGGAGGGCACAGCAGCTCGCCGGAATCACTCCCTGGCCCCTGCCCACCACGGCTCCGACTGCTTCAGGGCTCAGGCTCCGACTGTTTTGTTTTGATTTTTGGTATAGGTTAGTGATTTAGTGGATATCCATGAATCCAATCCATTTATCCATGGATTAAATGGATTTGGATCAATTTAAATGGATTTGGATCAATTTAAATGGATTGGACTGGATTGGACTAATGGATTGGATCAAGATTGCCAGCTCTAAGTAGAACCCTTCGAAACAATAAAGATCAAGTAAGGTCCCTTTGAAGCAACAAAGATCACCTTTCTTCAATAACTTCAACCCTGCAGATTAACAAATGAGTAATATTATAAATCCTTTGAGCATCGATTAACTTAAAGTTTCAACTGTCTGGAATCTGTGGGATGAACTTAACAAAATTTTGGGCTTCATTTGATGGAACAGATACAAAACTCTGTAGTGAAAATTTTGGATAACATATTAATTATTGAATATTTAGAAACACGAATAATGGATTAATTCATGCAATCAATAACAATACATGCATACCACGAAAAGGCCAGAGCTCTGGGTTGTGTTTAGTAAGCACAACCCTGACAAATATAAATCAGTTTCAGTATATCAACATTCCTCTTATTGTTAATTTATTTCATCACCATTATAAAAAAAAAAAAAACTACTGTGGGTTAGCTAGGTGAGGATTTGAAAAATGCTTTTGATTAGATAGGTGAAGTCGGTGAAGTTGAAAGTAAATAGGAATTGAGAAACTGAAAAACAAACAATTTGAGGGTCTATATTTAGTGCAGTTTGTCTATGTAAAGGTTATAATAATCAAAGACAAATAATGCATCTCACAATTAGTGTGATACAATTCATCTATCTAAAGACAATTAGTCAAATACAAATCATCTCAAAATTTGTATGATTCAGTATTAGTGTGATTGAATTATTACAGAATACAACACTTAAATCTCATGCTTAATGTATATTTGTGTAGAACTTTTAGAGGGACTTCTAAATTCAATTAGGTGGGTACCGGTAGCCACACAATTACTCGTGGGTAATTTTACTCAAATTCAAGTAGACCCTTAATATGGGTAGGATATGAGTGAACAATGAAGTATATATGAGGTTGGGGGTTTGTAGATGGATTTGGGTAGTGTATGGATATTGCTTTCCTAATCTAAATGAGTATGGATGTCCATTTACTTGAAGGTATTTTAACTACACATGCTAAAATTGGACCTATTTGTAAACTAAAAAAAGTTAGGTACCAAGATGTACCAAACAAAAAAATTTAGGTACTAAAATATAATTTTTCATAAATATCTTGAGGATTTATATGCAAAAAATATAATTTTAGGTACTAAATCTAATTATCTAAAGACCTATTAAGTGTAGGTATCAAACAGTAATTTACAATTGGAAACCCAAATCAATGGATTTAAAACCCAACCCTATCAAAATAAATCGGTATGGGTATAAACCCATCAAACTTTACCAATTTATCATATATTTGGATATCATACCCAACCCAATTAGGTTGGATAGTAAAATATCCATGGTATGAGTAAAATTGTCATTCCTAGTTACCTACCCACCATGTTGATGTATCATGAATATTTCTATAATACAATGTACAACGACATTGTAATTGAGTACAATCATGAGAGAGAAAAAAACATTATGATATGGTTAGGGGTTGCAATATTACGGTTCATAGTGAATTGAGTTTTAGGGAATTGATATTTAGATCGAATCGAATTAGATCGAATACATTTTAATTTAATTCTGGTCCTATAAATTATTTTAAGTATGAATAAAAAATGGACTGAAATTGAATTTAGACCGTACAAAATCGAATCAAATGAACTAGTCCTATCTCAATTTGATCCCATTCTGGACTGAATCAACCTATGCCTACCCCTAAATATGATTGAAGTTGACACTTAATTTATAAAAGTAATCATCAAATATCATGACTAATTAATCCAGCACGTGAATCTTGATGATGTGAGACATATTATTATTCTGTTGATCTCAGCAGATATGATTTCATCTTATTTTATATTTTCTCGTTTAATGCTGAAATATAATCCTCCCATTTTATATTCAGGAATGATAGTGTGAAATGTGATTTTTATTGAGCGGTTTCGGTGATCTATTAAGGGTAGGTATTACTTTAATCCTAGTATAATTATCAGTAAGTATAAGATTCTAATTTGTCAATTAATTTGAATCCCTTAATAATATCATAATCTCTATTCTTAATAGTTAATATAGCAAGTGCTTTTCTCGATTTTCGTATAAAATCCATACCCTGATACCCAAACTATTCTTCCTCTAAGTAATAACCTATCTCGATTCATACGTTATTTCAAAATACCCAACTTGATATATATGAAATGGATATGATCAGTATCAAGGTACGGCGCCCCGCTTGTGGGGAACGTGCAACTAATTAACTTACCTTAAATCGGTCGCAAACACAATATCCACATTTCCTCTATAAAAATGCATGCATTTGCATCACCATCCCACAAAAGCCACCCTTCTAATCTTTACATCCAAATAGCTCCCATAGTTACAAGAGAAGGAAAGCATGGCCGCAGTCGAAAATTGGTCTCCACCCACGGCCGCCACCAAATCATCGTCGACATCAAACCGCGTTGATGAAAAGCTGAGCCAGGAGTGCCAAGATTTGCTTCTTTCCCTTCCAAGGGAGAAAGGTTGGAGAACTTCTTACCTCTACAAGTTCAAAGGGTTTTGGTGCCAACCCAAGCAGATTCAAGCCATCCTAGCTTTCCAAACCCACTTCCAAGTCAAGGACACCGATGCCATCGTAGCCTCAATCCCTAAATCAGGCACCACCTGGCTCAAAGCCTTGGTATTCTCCATCTCAAACCGAGACAAACACCCTATTTTAACCTCTGCCAAATGCCAAATCGCCCACTCCAAGCTGTCCCACCCATTGTTGGTCTCAAACCCTCACGACCTTGTTCCTTTCTTCGAGTACAAGCTCTACGCAAACTCTGATGGCGATCACGGTCTCCTCGACCTCTCCGGGCTCCCTGAGCCGAGACTCTTTGCAACCCACATACCCTTTGGAGCTCTACAAGAGCCCATCAAGAAGTCGGGTTGCAAGATTGTGTACATATGTAGGAACCCTTTGGACACGTTCGTCTCCTCGTGGGTCTATACAAACAAGCTGATGAAAGAGAGTGGCCTTCCACCTTTGCCGTTGGAGGAGGCATTTGAGATGTATTGCCAAGGGGTGGTTGGGTTTGGTCCATTTTGGGAGCATATGTTAGGGTACTGGAAGGAGAGCTTGGAGAGGCCAGAGAAAGTGTTGTTCTTGAAATATGAGGAGATGAGAGAGGACCATGAAGGTTTTCATTTAAGGAAACTGGCCAACTTTCTTGGCTGTCCATTTTCGTTGGAGGAAGAGAAGAGTGGTGTGGTGGAGGGGATTGCAAAGCTTTGTAGCTTTGAGAAGCTCAAGGATTTGGAGGTGAACAAGAGCGGGAGTGGAGCGATTATGACCTTTGAGAACAAACACTTGTTCAGGAAAGGACAGGTTGGGGATTGGGTCAATTACCTGTCCCCTTCCATGGTGGAGAAGTTGGCTACTGTCATGGATGACAAGCTTGGTGGCTCTGGCCTTGAATTCAAACTGTCCTTTTCATACTAATTATATATTACTATGAAATAATTAAGCTTAAAGTTCAGTAAGCTAAGCTTGTTATCATTATTATTAAATGTTTTATTTTTAATTTGGGAAGATGGATGCTTTGAGAAATGTTTGTAATGCTGCTAAATGATTTGTGCGAAGTATAAAATTTTCAGCTTGCTAATTACTTACATCATGTAAACCATGAACATTAAAATGCTTACCTCCTAACTACTCTTTCAATTCATAAATGTAACTAATACATGTTTCAATGGTTGGGATAACATTGTTGAATATAAAAAATCACAAATTAATGATCTCTAAATTAACATCACAGTGTTATTAATATTCAAGTTAATTAATTCCTAAAATTGAGTGTATTGAATATCTTTTACGCGTTCAGTTTACTTGCGGCATCTAAAAAATGTAAAAAATAAGACGTCTAGCATGAGAAATGAAGTTTCACACTTTTCATACGCATATAGGCATTGGTAGATCCACGTAGTATCCGGGAGGAGCTGTAGCCCCTCCCAACTTTCGAATGTAGGTAAAACCATTTGAGTTGTTTTTGAAATGACCAAGGAACTATATGCTTCTGATTGAGCTCTCCAATCATTCAGAAGTTCTTTTTGCATTTAATCAACTTGTGAAAAAAATGTGAAAGTTCCCAACACAAATGCTTGCCTTCGAACGGTTTGGAAAGATATTAATCCATCTCACATTGCATGCATTCTTCTTCTGTAGCCTTGATGACATCAGTTGTCATTGCAAATATAGATAGAAGTGATAGATCATTGATTACACGTGTTTTTATCCCTATTCTTGAGCCGTTTGAGATGTCGATTCTCGCGTTTTAGGCCGATTTCACGCTAGGTTGTTCTTTTTTGTGATATTTCAGGTCCTAGTACGTGAATGAAGGTTTAGGAACGAGTTCGTGGTCGATTGGACGAAGTTTGGACGTTTGGCGAGAAGCTGAGAAGCCACACGGCCGTGTAGGGGACCCCTTGTGGCCTTGTGGAAATTCCAGGGAACTCACACGGGCACCCTGGAAGTCCACACGGCCGTGTGGGTCGTGGCCGTGTAGGAAGCCTGAAGCCACTTATCGAAATTCCGCGTTTTGACACTCACATGGCAGCCTGGGAGAGTCACACGGCCGTGTGGCCTGGCCGTGTGAGTCGGGAAATTCTGGGTTTTAGCCCAAATTCGAGCCAAAGGAGAGAGAGAGCTGGATTTTGGATCCCAAACACCCTAGGGACGAACCAGAGAGAGGGCGATTTGAGAGCATTCTTGGAGTGGAACTGGAGGATTTCTTCGCCTTGGAAGCTCGAGGAACAAGTCCGGACTTGAAGACTGATCATCTGAAGATTCTTACTGCAGTCTCTCTCTTCTCTATGGAGTAACTTCCCTTCACTTAGGTTTTGAGGAACCCTAGTTCCATGTGTTAGGATCTTTCTTATATGAAAT